AAAAAAAAAAAAAAAAAAAAAAAAAAAAAAAAAAAACGCCACCTATACATAGCAGGACAGTTTAGTTCAGCCATCTAAGATATTGAATAGACATAGTTTTTTTTTTTTTTTTTTATAAGTTTCTCAATAAACACTCACACTTGTAAGAGAAGAAAATAAGGTAAAGTTAATTAAAAATATATACGTTAAAATTAACTTATGCATAAATTACAACAAACTTTTTAAAAAAAATTAAATGATAGAACTTTTATAAAAGTTGAAATGTATATATTAATTTTAACTTATGAAAAAAAATTAATTTATTTTACCTTTATATTTAATTCTCCTAATGCAATTATTGAAAAAATTATCCAAGCCAGAGTAATGTTTCATTTATTGCTGAATGCATTTAGAAAGAAAAAAACCTGTCCAGAAAGTGCTACAACAAAAGTAGTCAAACATTTAAATCGCACATCAATGTCTATAAACCCTATCATTTGGAAGAAGAAAAATCTGCACATCAAGACCAAAGGACTCGACCTCTTTCCTTATATCCTAAACTAGAACATATTTCTACTGCATATCTAGGGTTTTAAAAAACCGTCTGCAATTGTTATTTTGGATGCAACATCAAGGTTAATTAAGTGACCACAATTGTCACCGTACCGGCTGCATTTGTCTGTAATTTCTTGCAATATTAAGATTCATATTGTAAAAAATTCAAACTTCATATTGACTAGTACTGTCAAAATAATATATTTAAGTAGAGGACAATCCTTACCTTACAAATTAAATTTATAGGATTAAGTTTAAAAAGTATTGAACATGAGAGTATTTTAGAAAATCTTAAGTCTCACATCAACTAATGTTATAACCACAATTTAAAATTTAAAATCTCGTAAAAAATCACCGGCTCTTGTTTCAAACAGTCTAAGGACTTGTTTGGATACAACCCTAAAAATACTTTTAAGAACTTCTCTACCAGAAATAACTCTTTATTTTTAATAGAGAAACTCTCAAAATCACTTTTAACTTATATCCAAGCAGACTCTTAGTCAATATCAGCAATAAAGATTCCATGATATTCAATAAGAAAATCCTAGGAATTGTTTCGATAAACTTTCAAAAACTAAGATATTAAAATAAGAAGGAAAAATGAGATGAACTTCGTAAACTAAAATTAGCTTATGTATAAGCTAATTTGTAGAATCTATCACATTAGCTTCTCCAAAAGCTTATTTTTAACTTATACATAAGCCAGTTTTACCTAATAAAGAAGCTTAATTATTTCAATTTTTCTCCTAAAAGTGCTTCGGTCGAAGTTTATCCAACCAGACCCTTATGCTTAATCTGATCTTTTTTTGTATTCTATATCCAATGAAGAAATATGTTTTGGCAAACAAACAACTAGTAGTCACGCTACCTAGAACATTTCTTCCCCTCCCAACATCCAAACATAGGAAGCTAGACAAATTAGGAAAACTACGCAGCAACATATTAACATATACAAGACGCACCACCATTATTACAAACCATGAAAATAAATTCGTGGCACACGCGCAATTTATCCATCAACACATTTTTCCCACACTAACAACGATTTTTACCAGAGAAAAAAGTTAGTTAGGCAGGCGTGGATTAAAAAAGGAAAGAAATAAAGAAAGTACCGGTAAAAGCAATGAAATGAGGATTCTCGGCCTGAATGATGCGCTTCAAAAAGCGAGTTGTGTTAAGATCGGAGCAAAACTCGAACTCAGAGGCCAACACGTCCCTGCAGCGAGTCATGGTTCCGGTGCCATAGTGCATATCAGCCACCTGCCACGTGGACACCGAGAATTTTCAACTGTTGAATTAACTCCATAATTTTGGTGCAGAGAGAGAGAGAGAGAGAGAGAGAGAGAAGTACCTGAGGATCTTGAAGGTACCGTCGGAACGGAAGCGTAGGGGAAGGTCGGAGATCTTCTTGATGCGCACCGTTTCGTTGCGGAGGAAGAGGTTGCGATGCGTGAGGTGAAGAAGTGCGAGGAGGAAGGTGAGGTAGAGGAAAGACTGTTTCACGTTCTGTGAATCCATCGTCACCTTTCCTTTCTCGTAGATCGGACTTCGTCGTCGTTAACAACTGCTTCTTTCTTCTTCCGCCATCTCTCCATGTTTCCGTCGTGGGCCTCGCTTCTTGGGCTTTTCATTTTTTTTTTCTTGCAACTCATTTCCAGAAAATAATACATGGACACTATGCTAATTTATTTATTTTTTTATAGTTTAATTAGAGTAAGATATGATTTAACCTCAAGCGTGTGGTTCAGCGGTAGGTTGATCTACGCTTAAGCAAGGTCAGGAGTTCAAATCCTACCTTGTGTATGCCTATCCGCCGATAACCATGGATACTCTAGAGATGAACCAAAAAAAAAAGTAAGATAGGAGAGATTAGAGAAGTCAAATTTCTAATTAATAGAAATAAAAGGATTTAACTAACTATATAATTCTTATTGATCTACTTTGTACTAGACAAAAAAAAAAAAAAAAGATAAAGGTGATAAAAATATAAATGTAAATATAGTATAGATGATATGATGTAATAATGTGATAATAAATAAGAAATTAAGTGAAATGAAAATGATCAATTAAGTGTATACTACATTAATGCAAGTGTTTGCTTATCATTAATCTTCATCTCCTTATGCATTAATTGATGTATAAGGATAAAAGTTGGAAACTTGAAACTTAATTCATGATAAACTAAGTCCGGTATATTTGTTATATAAGTAAAATAAAGTTTTATATGTTTTCAAAAAAAAATGTAAGTTTATTAGATTTTAAAGGTTATTTTTAAGTTATTTAAAAAGATTTTTTTTATTTAACAAATCGTTCCATTTACGTAATAATAATAATTTTATTATAACATTTAATATTATATATTTTTGTTTATTTAAATTTATTGTCTTGTATAAAACCTTTAGTTCATTGAACTGTTTAGTGCTATTAAACTCGATTCAAACGGGCTAGTCAAATCAATTTTTCCAAAAATGTTTTTTTTTTAATTGTAGAGTATTTAGTGACCGTGATGAATCTTAAATTACCACTAAACCACAATAAACTTTCGGTATAAATACACCAATTATATGATATTACATGTTAAATTATTTAGTTTCTTTTTTGGTAAATATCTATTTAGTATAAATTTTATCAATTTATGCTGTTTGAATAGTAACTCATGGATCCGACCAAGAATTCATTGGGCTGTGATTCGAAGTTTTATATCAGTGAAACAATATATATGGAAAGGTTTATTGGTGTAGAATAACAAGCTTGGGATTTTTTCTTTTCCTATTTCAAATATTAATATTTTGTCATGTGAATCTATGAAGGTGGGTAAACACCGTTGTGAGACCCCCCTCCCTTATTTTTCTCTCCCCCACTCTCTTTCACTCACTTCTCTTACTCACTCCTCATTTTCACTCTCTTCTTCCCCATTTTCCTTTCTCTGATCATGAGTGGTTGTGGTGAATCTTAGGAGCTGAGTAGTGGTGCTGGGTTTCTTGCTGAGCCGTGCGGAGCTTCCTCAAGCTTCTCCTACTTCCCCTTTTCTTCTCCGTTCAAGCTCGTTTTCTTCCCGGAGCTCGGATTCTCGCGCCGAGGTAAGGGAAGCTAGTTATTTTACTGTGCTTGACTGTGGCTGAGTGCTTAAACTCATTTGTTGTTTGATGATTGCTAGCTTTTGAGCTGGGGTTGCTGAAAAATGGGGATTTTGGGGGTTTCGGAAGTTTGGAAGAAATTTCAAATTTTGATGATTTGTGATTGCATGCATGAAAAGCTGGTATTTTTGGGCTCTTTGATGAAAATAGGAACGTTTGGCTAGATTGCATGTGTATTTTCTGTTAAGTTTCGCAGGTTTTGGTGAGGTTTTGGTGAAATTTTCGTAGCAGGTAAAGGTTTCCGTTTGAATTCGCGTCGGGCGCAGTTATTCGCGCTGGGCGAGACTTGAAATGGGCAATTTCTGGGTGAATCGCGCTGGGCGCGATGAGGACAGCGCTGGGTGCAATAGAATTTGCAGGTCTCTGGTTGAGAATTGCGCCGGGCGCTCACTTAACGCGCCGAGCGCGCATTTGTGTTTCAGAATTTAGGATACACCGGCCTTTATTTAAATGCTGGTAAAAAAATAATAGCCATTTATATGGCCACTAAATAATAAATTAATTGCCACAAAAAATTAATTTTGGTATAGTGAATAAAGAAGAAAGCTATTTATAACTTGAGTAAAATGGTTCACATATAAAACACTCCTAAACATCCAACCAATTTGAAACAAAATGTATAAAATAGAAACTTTAAAATTGTATCACAATGGATTACAAGTATTCTTAACCACTTTTGGTTCGTCAACCTCACATGCTGACGCTAGTATTCTTAAACCACTTCTGGTTGCCCAAGTATTTTCAACCACTCCTGGTTCGTCAACTTCACTCGCTGACACTAGTATTCTTAAACCACTTCTGGTTGCCCAAGTATTCTTTTGCTAGCCTCTTCAGGCTTTACAGACGATAGTTATTTTGAGTGTGTTTGTAACTCTCACAGAGAGAATGGAATGATTTCAACACTCACAATGTTTTCAACCCTAGTTTTACAAGAATGTGTTTAGAGTGTGTATGTAACTCTCACAGAGAGGATAAAATTATTTTCTACACTCACTAAGATAAACTTATCTTAGTTTTACACGGATATTCAACTTTCGCTCAAGAAGAGAGGTAAGATTATTTTGACGCTTGTTTTGGCTTATTTCTTGTTGCTTCTCTTCTATTTTCTTTTCTTCTCAGGTCTTGCTATTTATAGCCTTGTGATAGATCTGCCAGTTATTTGAATTTGAATGTGCCTGATGAGGCGAAGCTTTCTGTTGGTGCATATAAACGTTCATTCATTGCTACACAGATCTTTTTCATTTAATGCATTTGATTTTGCATTAAATGCTTTGCTTGCTTAATCTGTGGTACGTGAAGCCCTTTGCATAATTTGTCTCCTTTTATTTTTGACTTTGACCATGGCCTAGGTATGTTTTTCCTTTTTTCGTCATTGTAGCTGCGGAGGCGTTGCCTTTCTTTGAAAAGTAGGTGTACTTGCCCTAACACACGCAACTTTGACTTGTGAATTCGGGACCAAGAAACTAAGCAGTGACCAAGAAAGTGACACCCTCCACTAGTGCTTTTTCTCTCCCATTTGTCCCATGCGTAGTCTGCATCATAATATCCTAATAGGGAAAAATTATGGCTTCTATAGAAGCTGATTCCTAGGTTAGTTGTTCCTTTAAGATATCTCAAAATACGTTTAACAGCTTGTAAATATACCTCCTTAGGTCTTACTTGAAATCTAGCACAAACGCAAACGCTGAACATGATTTCAGTTCTGGATGCTGTTAGGTACAAGAGTAAACCTACCATTCCCCAATACATGGTGATATCTACGTCTAGTGAGTCTTCATCTAGACCCAAAGTTTTGGATGGATGCATTAGAGTCTTCATTGATTTTGCATCATCCATCTTATACTTCTTTAGTAGCTCTTTTGTGTATTTCGTCTGATGAATTTTGATTCCTTCGTCTGACTGGACGATTTGGAGTCCTAGAAAGAACTTCAGTTCTCCCATCATGCTCATCTCAAATTCATCCTGCATAAGCTTAGAAAAACTCTTGACAGAGATTATCATTAGTAGCTCCAAATATTATGTTATTTACATAAATTTGAACTATTATGAAATCATCTTTTAGTTCTTTCGTAAACAGGGTGCTGTCAATCTTTCCTCTTATGAAATTATTGTTGGGTGACCATATGGGAAGAGATCAGATCGGAATCCGACTTGGATAGTACACGCGTTTGTAGTCAGCCTCGTGCGTATATGAGATACCAGTCGGATAACGACCGGGACGGT